TACGACTGAAGAAGATGTCTCGACGTTCAGTGGCACATAATGATCCTTTCGTTCTACTTCGTAGCCACAGCCTAACACTGTGTTTGCTTTAGAAGTTACATTGTCAAGAATTTACCCTTTGCTCGATAGCGGCAATTTCGCACGATAAATTTCTACTGTTCTGTCTGTGATTGGAGAAATAAAGTACTCTCTTGTACTTAACACAGTATTTTCCTTGCCATTGGTTTACTCTATTGGTTTCTTGTTCTGCATACCATGAATGCAAGTAGATTTTGACGAACCCATAAAATTAGTCCGCGTCTCGCCTAAGAATTATGAATTGTTCCAATCGTCTTTCCGTCAGTCACGTTGTTTCTGTTGCCATCTACATCTAACCTTAGTGCAGATTCAAAAATTGCCATAATTGTACTCTACTCTTCACATTCACATCCGACCTCGTAATATATTTAGCATAAGAAATACTTGAAGACAAACGGTTAAATTTTTGCTGTCATCAATTTTTATCGTCATTTGAAGCTAACAGAGCTTGCATAACACAGTGACTGAGATTTATGATGTCTCGCTGTTGAAATTGTATTTTGGTTGATATTGGGAAAGGTTCACTTCCGTCATGTTCCTCGTCAAAAACAGGCCTTCTTCCATTATGAGTTTCCTGGCACATCTGCGCTCTTCAGGTGCTCCCACTAATAACGGATTTGAGCAAATTTCCGTCATTTTTCGGACTATGTCAGTAAACTTAACTAGACGCTAGTCTGATAATTTATTACCGATGGTCTTCAGTCCTTACTCATCTAGCAAATCATTTTTAATATCGAGCTTTGAGGGAGATTTGAGGCTGTCAAGACGAACTTCATGGTGATTCGAGAGAGCTGATGTTTGGAGGTGGATGAGAACATTGAAACTGTTGTTCGTCCAGGATTGTCGTATCAAAATCAGCTTCTAGAATTCAATTTCTCTACATTACAGGCAGAATTTTGGAACTCAAAGGTGCAAGTCTTAGTCCTTGTTCCACGTAGGATCAATATTTCTATCATTAACCGATAAATTTCCCGTCAGTATCTGTTAGTACTTGTTAATATGATCTTCTCTATGCTACCATTCCATGGTTTCATCAAGCTGACGGCGGCGGCGAATTATGGCCTAATTTTCCTCCTCTTGGCAATGACCATATATTGTTGCACATGCTTTCAGTGATCAGTAGGTGACTCGCAAGTCTGTCAGCAGTACAACGTTATCTGGCATGCTCAGGGTCTGTTAAGAATACCGCCGAGTATCTCGAGTTAACTGCCAGTCACTCATTATCATTTGGGCGACACTCTTTCGCCGTAACTTTCAACAACAAAAGAGACATGACATGCCCTTGACTACTGATCAATTCTGATGGAACATTTCATCGGTTCCAGATGGATTCCGCTGCTGGGCCATGAAACGTACTGAAATTGGGGTGTAAAATCATCAACGAAAGCTCACGTGCTCTTGACCACTGATCTATATGATGCACAGAGGTCGATGCCTAGTAAGCGTTCGCAAACTAGTGTAGATCCAAGTCACTTCACAACATCATATTGGGCTTTGGTGTATTTCTTCCTTCCTTGAAGAAGCTGGAGGATTAGTTAAGCAGTTGACGGATACTTGGCATTTGCGCACCTGCAGTACATAAGATGTGGAACTTGGCCCCTGAGCTGGGCTGATTAAAGGCGTATGATTAATCTGTTGCAATCTATAGGTAAATAGACAAATAAAATATAAGCCGATATTCGAGGTAACTATAACAGATGGTAGCTTTTCAAATCTAGTGCAGATTTAAAAAGGCAAAATACTCATCAGTCAGTTTCGATGGCCACTTATCCTTTCGAGTCGTAGAGGCAGCAGCGACAGACAGTGCCTCGGAAGTTCTCGATCCTCTGAGCATTTGCAGAAAATCCGTGAGCCTAGAGCATAATCCGTCGAGGCAGCTGACCCACGGCTTTTTCCCGTCCCCTGTGTCGTCAGTGGGGCAACTATGAAGTAGTTGTTGTTATGAAATGCGCCAACATAATGCGTCGATTATATGCAAAGTCTCAAACTTCGCTGGGGAGCAAAATAGAAAACAAGGTTCTTGACCTTTCTCATTTTATTTCCCACACACTTCAAGTCATTTCCGATTTTGAACATGAAGCACCTTCTTTATAATAAAATTATTATGCGATATCATATCATAACTGATCGCTTTGAATTGCACCTCTCCTGTAAAAACAGATCATTTTATGTGTTGGTTATAAGCTTCTGCCATGATTACGACGGCACAAACTTCAGGAACAAAAATCAACATATGAAGCATCCAGCACTCTCGCAGAAAGGACTAGGCCTTGTCGCAACGGTCACAAACTACTCACTTGTTTTCGGCTCAGAATTGCGAGGACAACGAGATACCACTTATTCCGAGAGTTGTCACCCCGTATGCAACCTCCACGTTGGAGATGTCCCCATTCCTGACCTTCCTCAACCGATGGGTGTTCACATGTGCGACAGACGACAGCGATTGGTGCAAATCCGAAGCGCCACCATATGCAGACAAGGAGGCAGCGAGTGATCAGGGCACGTTCATTTCTGAAGCTGCTTTCAGCAAAGACGAAACTGAACGCTCTCACCTGCTGATCTATTAAGCGTTCCTTTTTATGTCAAAACTTTCCGGTCTTCGCCTCGACGCCGTTACTTCCAAGTTCAGTCCTGTTGTACGGCCTGCTGCGAGTCACGTGCCTTTGGCAAAGCGACGTGGTGGTAAATATTTGTTTTGCAGTGTCATAAGGTGGTCGATCGGTTTTTCGGTTAGTTTTGTCTGTCGCTGATCGCACCCAACCTGCTTTGTAGATTTGTATCAGGCGGGGACCGGACAACGGATTTTACCAAGGGTCAGCGATGATCCTGACGAAAGCTAGGCTATTCGCCACAGTGGGCGTTGCCACATCCGCCGTCGTCACTCAACAGAGAGGTATCTTGCTCATTTTTCGGAACCTCTCGAACCCAGTCCATTCAGTGGTCTTGTTTTTTCTCATAGCCCTGTCAGCAGTGTACCTGAATTCGGCTGCGAGGTGTGTGAGATCGTCGGCATGCCCTCAGGCAGCACTCTCACCCGTCGACGAAGAAGCAGGAATGCGAGACCGTGTTCGACCGGCTTCTGCGATGCTGCTCGACACGCATAATCGATTTCACGACTACCTGCGAATCTCACTGACGGAACGTTGCAATCTACGGTGTAAGATTTATATATAATTTATTTAATGCATTATAACCTGCATCTGTATTAAAGAAAAAAGCATTTATCTGTGTTATGCGATGCGCCAAACATCACAACTATCCAACCGTTCGAAACATATCTTCAACATTGGCAGCGAACCAGTGAACCAGTGGAACCTGAGACCTTAGTGAATCCTAAAAACTGCGAAATCGCCGTTCTACCGGCATTGCTTTGCGCGGACTATGCAAAGTAGAAGATAGACCGATGCTTATAGGGGGCTTTTAATGCTGAACGGTTGATGGAATTGCAGCCACCAGAGGTGACCATCGTCAGATTTATTCTTTTATGCTTTCTACCCCTATATGCGGGAACTGTTTGCCATGACCACTGTCGTGCACGTGACGTGAAGCTAATTCGTAAGTCGCTAAAAGGTGGTCAAGATTTAACGTTTACCACGTAAACCATTTGACGGTTAAAATTGGCAGACAATGTGAGAAATCACCTCATTTCCATAACTGCCTTCCAGAACCAGCTCAACATGTTCTACGTACTTGAGCATTTTGACCAGACCAGGAATTTTTTTTAGGAAAAACGCTATTCTCTTCTCTGCTCCTGTTTTTCATCAGGTAAAAGCTACCGAACTGCATAATTTAAACCTGCTCCATTTTCATTTTTTCTATTTGTCGTTTTCTTGTATGTGCGTTTTCGAATGCCTGTAATTTCTTCCGATTTACTGTGTTACTTCTTTGTGACAATTTTCATGCTTTATTCTATCTTCCTAATTTATTTATTTCATAAATTCATTATGTGTTGCTCAAGTCATTTTTGCTTTTGTTATTGAGAAAAATGAAATTCATTTATGATTCCACTCAAGCTGGAAATATTAGATCAACATTCATTCATCGATCAATTCGTTCATTTATTTACTTTCAATTTGTTTGTTCACCAGTTCATTCGTTCGTTCGTTTTTTTGCTCATTGAGACCTCACTACCTCTGAGTGATCTTCGCATTCGAAATGGATTTCTCAGTGGTCGCGCTTGAATGTGAACTTTGTACATTTACGACCCACCCTTATCCGTGACTTGGCTGTTTTCCCTGCGGTTATACGGCATTCTTGCCGAACCGACGCTTGGATTATCAGACTGTGGTCACGTCGAGCACGTAGTTTCGAATTTCCTTTGATGGCGAAAGTTTCTTGTCAGAGTCCAAGTTCAAGCCTCTCCTGTTCGACAAGACTCGTCTCGTTTTTCCTATCAAACCGCAAAATTTACATCTCTGAAGTAAGTGAAGACATAGTCGGAACGAGCAGCAAGTTTCAACATACGAGCAACGTGTACGATATCATGCAGCGGTGCATCGACGGCATGGCATATGGGCTTACGGTAGTAATATCCTTCAATTCGAGGGCGTCACCATTCGCACCTTGACCTGGCTGACGATGAGCAGATCAGCACGTGTATCCCTCAATGAAACAAAATATAAAAACTTAGCCCGAAATCATCATTGTAGTTTCGTTTCGAACGACAGGTTTTTTTCTTCAG